CACACACACACACACACACACACACACACACACACACACACACACACTCAAACACTAGCTGACACATATTCGATATGCGATATTCACGGGCAAGCTAGCTCATTGAGTTTGCATTATCTCACTATAACAGTGATTTGCATGGTACATAGAGGCTATGATCAGGCATTATCGTCTGTTTAACTCTTTCAACATAGTAACGCAAGTATTATCATTGGCCTTTCCTCCTGACCGGTCTTTGACAGTGAGCAGTAAAGGATAGAGGTGACAGACAGAGAGACTAATGGCCTGCAGCTTACTCTCTATCCCTTCTTTACAATTTAATGAGAGTCTTTAATTAAACTTTAGCAGCAAGAGGGAGAACAGGAGCAATGAAGAGACCAGTGATGGATGAGATTTGGTTTCCAGAGAATATGTCATACTTTGCTCTCTCTAATTCTGCTCTCTCATTAGCCTCCTGGATTCTACATAATGCTGCAGAGACAAATCTGTCTAATTGAAGGGGCCTACCTTTAGGCTACCATTCTGCCCTTCCTCTGGCAGTCAACCTGCATATTTGTCTCCAACCTGCCCCTCCTTTTTAACTGTTCACTGCTCTCCATCTGTGCTGCTCACGTACTTAAGATTTAAGTATAAGCAAGTCATGTCCCTCACCCAGCACATGCAACCTAAAAGCCAGCCCCTCCTCCCATCCAAACATAGACCACGAGCCATAGTAGACAATTACAACAATTTCTTAGCATTAATTACCGTTTTAATTACCAGGGCTGTGAGAATGAATAATCTGACAGCATATGGCTAAGGGTGCACAAATCATAATCCTATCACAATATTATGTATTCCCTCCCAGTTCCAGGGGCTGTTTCAACACGCTGGTCTAATTACTATTGCTGGGGGTGGGGACTGGGAGCGAAGCACAGAAAAACAATAACAATGCTAATGCTGGAGGCAACACCAGGTTAGGCCGACACCCAATTCTTAAAGCACTCTTGCTCAATAGGGAGCAGGGCTTTAAAAACAAGGAGGGACATGGGAAATGAAAGTGAATCTAGATATGTCCTCTCTTTCCTAATGAAGGCTTTCTTAATGAAAGAGGCAGGAAACTGAATTGAAACATCTGCTCCGGAGAGTGCCTATTGAAATGAAAGCTGAAAAGCTAGGGCTGGTTTGTGATGTGATGCGGAGGCGAGAGGGCGGAGAACGGAAACACAGAGGCGAGTGGCTTTCTTAAATAACATCATTATTTATTGCATGTGTCTATAAAGAATCAATACAATTGAAAGCAATGAACTAAGTTTAAATTATCATCTCTTAGTAGCATCACAATATGCAAGATATGAAATATTCACAATGAAAGACACAGCAAGAGAAGCCCATAGCGTAACCTTTAGATGCTGAATAAAAACTTGAAACATTATCCAAATGCAAAACACTGCTCAAAACACCAAGAGGCTTGATGAGCAAAAAACAAACACAAAAAAAAGTTTTCATTTCAAATTTGGAGAGGAAAAAAAATGCACAAACAGCAAAAAAAAAAATCTGATTTTAAGGATTAACAAACATTATTAACAGTATTTATACATTTGGTAAACTAATTTTCAAAAGTGTAAATATTGCATATATGCCATTTGTGTTGTAACAAGACTTAATTTTGTGAAGTATTGATGACTTCTCTTAAAATCCTTTTTTTCTCAGAATTACAGCATTAGAAAATGTCCTCATAGTGGCATCCATCTAACAAGACCATCCCGTGACAGCTTTTAAAAAAATCTAAGCCAAACCATACTGGTTAGCCTATAACTTAATTAGTGCTTTTGTTGTATCAGAAAGTTCACTCAAACACGTAATATGTACAGTACAAACAACATAAGTTATTTAACTTAACATCTCTCAAAGTTTCTCAGCGTTTGCTAAAATGTCATTTGTCTTTCACTATTTACAGTCTATAGGCAACGGGTAAGTACCAGTGAATTCAGATCAATAAAGAGAGGCTTGTATCTGCGTCATAGTTTCGATTCAGTACCTCCGCATGTTTCGTTGATGTTGTTGCGGTTGCTGGGGTGTTTGTCGGGTTGTGTGTTCCCAAGCCCGGAACACAGCGTGTACTACATTCAATGTGTCTTGGTGTTACAATCTGGAAAGTTTGTAAGTGCAAGACCATGCATTAGCTCTGGCGTGTCCCGCCTGGCTCTCTCTTAGCTCAAAGTGGTTTCAAGCTATCGAGCGGCTCGTTAAACAGCCGGTCTGACTGCGTCATACATTTGCCCGGCGCTGCCTGCACCTGCCATCCGACCATGTGGTGTGACAGCGCTCCGCAAAGAGGCATCAGGTGAGAAAACTTAAGATTCTGAGCCGAGTCAAGTTACTTTGTATAAATAACTTCAAACATTCATGTCCTCCGTCCCTTTTCCTGACAGGTCATAACTTCCTGCAGGGTGTGTGGGTGTGCAGGATATCACAGGTGAACCGTGGCTGAGTAGGTAAAGTGTATAAAGGTGCCGAGACTTGGGCTCAGACAGGCCACAGATCTGGTGGTCAGGTCCAGTTGGACCTGGTTCATGCTGCAATGTTTGGATGTGCGACACCTGCATGCATGGGTTACGCAATGCAATGTCAGGTATTCCTCTGAAGTCCTCTGGGTATTCTGTTAGCGTGTGAATCCTCCATTTCAGGCATATTAATAAATATATTACTCTGGATCTTTAATACATAATCCTGTCACAAATGTCAGATGGGGAGAGGAAAGAACTTAATCTCAGAGAGGCCGTCTCTCATTTCGGCTTTGATGAACATTCAGTCTATAAGATGATCGGTTCAATCTTTGATATAATGCGTGTTTATAGGTCCAAACTTAAAAGGTCCATCAGATTGGGGCTGATGGCTTGAGTAAGGCTTTGGATTGGTGATTTAGAAAAAAAAACAAAAAACATTCACCTCTGAAAATAAATATTTCATATATATTTCTATTGTGTGAATTGGTACCAACCTGGGTTTTGCTGAGGTAGGTATTTTTTATTTTTTTTTTTTAGCAAAATGTTAACTTGGATTTTTAAATATGTTCATAAATGTCAGTTCTTTTTGCAGTACTATCCGTATACGTATACACACACACACACACACACACACACACACACACACACACACACACA